CCCAAGGAAGCATTTACTGAAATTCTGCATTTGTGGCAGGAGGGATATTGCAGTTCCGAGCGTGGGTAGTTCAGGATGGCTGGGAACTTTTAAAAAAAAAAAAAAAAAAGCCATTTATGATATTTGAAAAGGGAGAAAAACAAGAAAGGACATACCTGGAGGGAGGTTTGCAGAGCCAGCCGTGGGTTCTGGCTCCCAGCCCGGCTGAGCTGTGACCTCCAGACTTCCCTGGGCACCCAAACCTCAGAGTGGTTCCAGGTTTTGCAGAGCACAGCAAAGCACAACCACTCCAAATCCTGCTGTTTATTGGAAGCAAAGCTGGCCTGAAGGTCTGCATTTAAGGTTGCTTTTGGAAGAGGCACCTTGCCTGCAGAGCAGCAGGAAACTCCCCAGATTTGATGCCTTGACGAGGAAATATCAGCCGAGGTTGGTGCTTTAGGGGAGCAAGCATTGCCCAGACAGTGAAAGGTGAGAGGATTTGGCACCCACCTCCCACACATCCACTTGAGACCCTCAACTTCTCCTTCAGGTTGGTGCTCCAGTGCTTAAACCAGGCAGAGGAGGTGTCTGCCTGCACACCAAGCCCTCTGGAGAAAGTCCAAGCTGGTGGCGGCTCGTGCTGGAGGTGGGAGCCTGTTTGGCCACCTCACAGGCTCCCCTGAGCCTCCAAACAGCTTGTTTGTCCTGCCTGATGCTCTCCTGATGCTTCTCTGGGAATTGATTCACGAAGATGCTCAGCAAAGGGCTGTCAGTCACGGTGAGGTGTGGCTTCAACTCAACAGTGTCCCTGTGATGGGATGGAGTCCATGTTAAAGAGGACACTGTGCTCTCTGTCGGGTGAAGGGGGTGAAGGACAGGGCTGAGATGTCTCATTCTTCACAAAAAGGTGAGGCATTGGAGGGGGTGGAGTCCCCACCCCTGGAGGTGTTTAAGGAAAGACTGGAGGTGGCTCTCAGTGCTCTGGGCTGGGTGACAAGGTGGGGATGAGGCACGGGTTGGACTCGATGATCTCAGTGTTCTTTTCCCACCTCAGTGATTCTGTGACTGGAGCCCCCTCAGCACAGTGACACCAGCAATTCCCCTGCTTCTGGGAGCCTCCAGGATACAGGCACAGGGATGATCCCTTCTCCTCCTGCCCCGCATCAACTCACCCCTGGCATGGGGATGAGAACCTTGAGGCAATCCCAGCTCCACACTGGGCTCCAAACCCCCCCCCCCAGCCCCAGCCAGGCCGTGGGGAGCGAGCCCAGACGGAGCTCACCATCCCAAACCGCTCCTGGGAGGAATCCTGTTTCCAGTGAAACGGCCTCTCTGCGGCTGAGAGCATCCAGATCTGTGGGATCAATCTGTCCACACATCCAGCAATTCAGGGTGGGCTGGGCTTGCCAAGCTAAATTATCCTCCGAGGGAGGGCGGCTGGGATTTCAGCCGGGTTTGGTTCTTCGCCCTGCCCTCGGCTGTCCTGGATACGGCACTTCCCTCCGGAGGCAGCTGTGCTCCAGCACAGACCTTTGTGCAGCAATGCCAGGTGGCCAGAAAATGTGCTCCAGCCCAAAATCTGGCTGCCTCTCCCCACTGGATGAATTATCTGTGAAAACCTCTCACGGCTCGCACAAAACAAGGTAATTATTCAGCAGGCAGGGGACACGCAGAGCCAGAATATGAAATTATTATCTGTTAGTGATTTACAGAGAACCACAGACGGTGTCAGGGAACAGGGGCTGAATCAAACTTGCCTTGGCAACTTCTTGGCTCCCAAATGCTCCAGACGACCTGAGGGGGGGGGAGAGGAGTTGGAGAGGTTGATGGGTTGATGGAGAGCTCCCAACAACACTCCTACACCCTGGGGAAGGGGTTCCAGGGGGGCTGGATCTCCCCAGGACAGAGCAGGTGGTTCACAGAGGGGAAGGACATGTTTTACCTAAAACCCTGAGACTTTAGGATGGCAAAGACCACAATCCAGGGGACCTCACGTCACTTTTGCTGTCTTACACAGTAGCCAGAGGGGTTTGGGGCACAAATAAGTGCCCCTGCCCGTGGCAGGGGCGTGGAATGAGCTAATCTTTAAGATCCCTTCCAGCCCAAACCGTTCCATGATGAAATGGTGCATCCAATTAATCTGAGCAGCCTTCCAAGCTCTGCAAAGCTCGGAGCCTCTTTGCTGCCAGCACAGCTCTCCTGGAAAATCACCGAGGCAGCGGCTTCCTAAAGGTTCCTTCTCACACTTCCTCAGTAGCAGCTTTACAAACGCTCTCCCTCAGCCAAATGTTTCTCCCTTGGCGCCTGCTCTGGCAGGTCTGTTGTTCACGGGCTCAAACCAAACCATTCCCTCTCCTTTCAGCCCGAGGTATTTTGCCACTTCACACACCCCCACCCCCACCCCCTGACTTTTAGGTTTTATTTGGTAGGATAGGAGGGAATGGATTCAAATTAAAAGAGGGCAGGGTTAGTTGGGTATTGGGGAGGAATTCTTTACTCAGAGGGTGGTGAGGTACTGGAAAAGGTTTCCCAGAGAAGCTGTGGCTGCCCTATCCCTGGAAGTGTCCAAGGCCAGGTTGGACGGGGCTTGGAGCAACCTGGGCTGGTGGAAGGTGTCCCTGCCCACGGCAGGGGGGTGGAATGAAATGAGCTTTAAGGTCCCTTCCAGCCCAAATCATTCCAGGATTTCCTGTAACAGATCGCGGGCGGTTCCCTCCTCCAGGTGCGCTGTCAAACCCCAAAACCCGGGCGGCCCCAACCCTCCGCCTCCTCCTCGTCCCCCAAAACCCTTCCCGGGAGCGCGGCAGCCCCTGAGCAGCGAGGCGGGGTTTGTTCCCAGCCATCCTCCGCCTCTGCCAAGCTCTGCCTCCCGCTTCCCACCGATGGGATGTTTCCCAATCAGCGCCCGGCATCCAGCACAATGCGGCTAATTTCATGAAATTAAGCATTTCTCCTACACACAGCACATTTGCCCGGTGATTAGAACGAGTCCCCGAGGTAGCCAAGCACAGCAGAAGCCGGGTTTATTATGCACACCCACGCAGCCAAGCTAAAAACCCAAGACACTCCCCCGGTCCTTCCTGGGAAAGCCTGAGCAGCTCAGATTTCAGCTTCCAATTGCACCAGCCAGGACTGGGAATACTCTGTCATCTGGTGTAAGGGAAAAAAAAAAAAGAAAAGGGTAGAAGTTTCCCAAAGATTCCAAGGTATCCCTGAATGCCTGAGAGAGGGAAGGGTGCAGGAGCACAGGGAGCAGATCACACTGTGGGTTTATTAACACAACTGCGAGTAGTTACTGCCTTTTGCTCACTCTGTCTTGGCTTTAGAGTGAGTTTTTAACTCCAAAATGCAGTAATTCCCCCATTCCTTCGAGCTGTGAGCTCACAGCACCTCCCCTGTGTCAAAATGACAATTACTGGATGAGAAAAATGAGCATTTACTGTGTGTGTGCAGCGTGTGACCTGCCCTGGCTGCAGAGAGTCCAACCCCACTCCAGAAATGAAACAGGGCCAAATCTCCCCCGTGCTCCCACCTGGAGCTGCTGCCAAGCTGCAAACACAGGGAGCTGCAGTTTGCTCCAACCCTTCCCCACACCAGGGGCAGATCCACCCCTGGAATCCCAGCCTTGGCTGTGCCTGGGAGTGGTGGGTGAGCAGCTGCAGCTGCTGGAGCCAGAGCAAAGGGGGAAGCAAGTTCAGGTGGAGGTTTTCCTCTCTCTGCAGACACCACCTCCTGCCTCATTCTCCCTTCCTCTTCCTCCAATTCTCTTTCTCTCAACCCCTCCAGCCACAGTTTTCCCTCTGCCCTGCCCCTGTCTCTGCTCCCCCTTAAGGTGGAGAAATCCCCTCCTCCTCCTCCTCCCCACACTCCCCTGCTCCTTCTGCTTCCTTCCTTCCTTCCCCCAGCCCTGACCCTCCTTCACCCACCTCCACAGAGACCTTCCCCTCGCTGCAGCAGCTCCTCATCTCCCCAGCCCAGCTCTAACTCAGCTTCCACTCCTCTTCCAGCCCTAATCCAGCCCCCATTCCTCCCTCTGCCCTCCCCCACCACACTCCAGTTCCTCATCTTCCTTTCACTTTGTCCTGGTTTAGCCCTGCCATCCATCCCCCTCCTTTACCCTTCCCTCAGCCCAGCTCAGCCCCTTCACAGAATCCCAGAGGTTGGAAAAGACCCCCGAGATCATCAAGTCCAGCCTGTGCCCCATCCCCACCTTGTCACCCATCCCAGAGCACTGACAGCCACCTCCAGGGATGGGAATTTGGCCCTGGCCCAGCTCAGCCCTGACACCTGACCCAGCCCCACTTGGCCTGGCCCAGGCCCAGCTCAGCTGCCTTCTCCCAGCCCTGGTGTGGCCCTGCTCAACCCCTTCGCCCAGCTCAGTTCAACCCTTTCCCACAGCCCTGGCTTAGTTCAGTTCTTCCTCCCAGTCCCGCCCAGCTCAGCCCCTTCCCTTGACCCAGCCACACTTGGCCTGGCCCTAGCCCTGCTCAGCCCCTTCTCCCAGCCCAGCTCAGCCCCTTCCTGTGGCTCTGGCTTAGCTTAGGTCTTTCTTCCAACCCTGGCCCAGCCCTGCTCCACCCAGCCCAGTCCCTTCTCCTGGTCCTGTCTTAGCTCAGTTCCTTTTCCCAGTTGTGGCCCTGGTTTAGTTCAGGTCTTTCTCCCAGCTCAGCCCCTTCCCTTGGCCCTGTCTCAGCTCAGCCCTTTCCCCCGGCCCTGGCCTAGCCCCACTCCCAGCCCTATTCCCAGTCCCAGCCCAGTTAAGACCAGCTCATTTCCAGCCCCACTTCCGGGTTTTCGCCCCCGCGCTCGAAATCTCGCGAGACCTCCCCCGCGCGTCGCGTCACGCGGGGCCGGGCGGTTGCATCACCGCAGGCCCCCTCCCACGTGACGTTAGGCTCCGCCCCGCCCCTCCGCGCCCTGATTGACGGCACTTCAAACCAATCAGAAGCTGCTGCGGCATGAGTGACGCGGCGCGCAACCAATGGGCGGCGGTCGAGGGCGGGGCGGGCCCGCGGGGCGGGGCGGCGGGGCCGCGCCTGTCAGCAGGGCGGCGGGATGGCGGCGCTGTACGCCTGCACCAAGTGCCACCAGCGCTTCCCCTTCGAGGCGCTCAGCCAGGGACAGCAGCTCTGCAAGGTCCGGGACTGGGGATGGGAGCGGGCGGAGGGTCGGGGGGCTGAGGGGGAGGGGGCTGGGAGGGATGTGGGGGAGGCGGTGTGGGGACTGAGGGGCTGTGAGGGGACTTGGGGGGGCAGTCTGAGTGAGGGAGCTTGGGGGGTTGTTTCTGAGGGGGCTGATGGGGGAGTCTGGCGAGGGCAGTTTGTCAGGGAATCGTGGAGGATGATCTTTGGGGGGCTGTTTGTGAGGGAACTGTGAGGGAGCTGAGGGTGGGGGGCTGTGAGGGAGCTGAGGGAGCTCGGGGGGGGACAGTTTATGAGTAGGCTGATGGGGGGGAGGGCAGCTTGTCAGGGAATTGGAGGGGGTGGTCTATGAGGGAATTGGGGAGGTAGTTTGTGAGGGAGAGGCTGGGAGAAGCTGTCTGTGAGGTAGTTGTGGGGGGGCTGAGGGGTTTTTCCCCCTTGGATCGCTGTTTGTGAGGGAGGGCAGGCAGGGGGTGTTTTTGAGGGGTCTGGGGGCTCTTAGAGGGACTGAGGGCAATTGGGGGGCTGTTTGTGAGGAGGCACTGGGGGTGTCTGTGGAGACTGGAGAGTTGTGAGGCTATTTGGGGTCTGTGGGGTGGGCGGGGGGGAGTGTAGGGGAGGCCCTGGGAACATTTGGGAGGTTTGGAGGGGCTGGAGCACAGGGGTAGAGCCTGGGGGCTGTCAGGGGGGTGTTTGGGGAGCCGCTGAGAGGAGCTGTTTGTCAGAGGGACCTGAGGGCACTGAAGGCAGTTTGGGGGTGCTGGGGGTGTTTGGAGGGTGTTGGAGTGGGAGTCATGGTGATACTGGGGGGAAATGGGGGGCTATTCCTGAGGGAAGGCCTGGGGGCACCTGAAGGGCTGTTTGTGAGGAAGGCTTTTAGCAAGGAGAGAGGTGTGGAGGGTTTGGGGGGTCCTGAGGGGTTTGGGAGCATCTGGGGACACAAATGGGAGATCTGATGGTACCTCGAAGGAAGGAGGTGGGTTTTGGGGCACAGTCTGGGTGGGGAAGAGTGAAATCAGGGATGAGATGGGGCAGGAACTGGAGTAATGTGTGATCTCTGGGGCAAAGCAGGTGAGTGTGGGGGAGCCTGAGAGAGCTAGGATGGGAGGAGAGCAGGGCTGGAGGCACCAGGAGCTGCTGGAGGGCAGAGCTGTGAGTAACTGAGGCAGGATTGTGTGTTCCTGCCCTGGGAGCCCAGGCCACCCCGTGACCCTGCTCTGGCACAAACAAGCCCCGGTCATGGATCTCAGTTCACTCCTGGCTCACCTGTGACACATCCCTGCCACCCTTCCTTGTCCCTCATGACTAAAGGCAGGAAGCGTTTGGGGGTGGAGGGCAGCAGGAGCTGTGGGATTTGGGGAATGGGAGCGTGGGAGCAGCACTGCACCTCACTGAACACCTGTGTCCTTGCAGGAGTGCCGGATTGCTCATCCCATTGTTAAATGCACTTACTGCAGGACTGAATTCCAGCAGGAAAGGTAAATGCCTGCTGAGCTGGGCAGATCCATGTTTCCTGTGGAGCAGACACACCTGGGTGACTGTAGTGCTTCCACACCTCTGCTGACTGAGCCATAATTGCTGCCATGGAATACCTGGGGGACCTTTGCCCGCCTTCAAAGCTCTGCTGGGCGAGTCCCAGTGTCTGCAGTGCCCTTGGGTCACACCTTTTGCTTGGCTTTTATTTTTGGTCAGTGCTCAGATGCGTCTTCCAGTGAAGGCTCTGGGTGCATCTGCCCACGAGTTTTCCTCTTTACCTGATTTCTGGTACCCAGAACTTCCTTCCTGTCGTGTTTCCTTCAGCTGGGCTTTTGCCTTTTTGCATTTTGACAAGTCAGAGGGAGGACTGGTAAACCCACAGCCAAGTGGGGTGTTCCTTCCTGTGTTTGCTGGACAAATACACTTCTGTCCTCACCTGCCTTAACCTCATCCTCCAGGATGGTGCTGAATCACTCCTGCTCCCAATTAGTCAGTGATCAAATCCTGTGTTTGTAAGCACAGAAAAACTGGTGTCATCTGGGGATGCCTTAATTAAAAGACACCTCTTAGTGATGCCACTTTTTGGCAACTTTTGCTCAGCCAGATGGGGTTAGGAAGAGCACTTTGATATCTGACTCCCAGAGATGGAGCAGAGGGGAGGCTGGGATCTCACCCAGGGATCCTGGGATTCCCAACCACAGAGGTTTCACTTTCTATTGGGAAGTGTCAGTGGAATGACCTGCCTTCTGTTTTTTTCACAGCAAAACCCACACAATATGCAAGAAGTGTGCTCAGAACGTGAAGCTCTACGGCACGGTAAGTGATTCATGAGCCTCTCTTCCTTTCATCCCTCTTGTCTTTATCCTGCTGAAATCCCAGAGCAGTTTATGGACTGGCTCTGCTGTAAGAGCATGACTGATCAATACCACAGGTCACTCAGGCGTGAAGCTTTGACTTTTTCCTCTTCTTTTAGCACCGAAAAAGAGCAGCTTTGCATCATTTAAGGCCAGGAAATGATCTGTTCGATACCCAGCAGAAACAGCAGTGTGCTTACAGACTGAGATTGCTGCAGGAAGCAGTGATAAATCTTTATTTCCTGCCTGTCTGAAGTCTGAAATAGAGATTTGGATTGGTTCTTTTTTGGGTGTTAGACGTTTTTCCAAAGATTTCACAGCACTTGGGTGCCATGGATAGATACACCCAGCTGGAGTTATGTCTCCTGGATCGGCGTCATATGAGGAAAGAAAAGTTAGAAATTATGGGGAGGAGGGGAAGGAGCAATGCATTAATCAGTTGTTCTTGTTTCTTGAAGCCAAAGCCCTGCCAGTACTGCAACATCATAGCAGCATTTATTGGAAACAAGTGCCAGCGTTGCACCAACTCGGAGAAGAAGTACGGCCCCCCTCACTCGTGTGAGCAGTGCAAGCAGCAGTGTGCCTTCGACAGGAAGGACGACAGGAAGAAGGTCAGTACTGGTGGAAAAGGAGGCTGGAAAGGTGAAAGGGCTCATCACAGTGATCCTCTGCCCATCTCCTTCAAGGCTTCTCCAGCATTCCTGATCAGACAACGGGGAATGGCTTCACCTTGGCGGAGGGCAGGGTTAGATGGGAGATTGGGAAGGAATTGTTGGCTGTGAGGGTGGGGAGGCCCTGGCACAGGTTGCCCAGAGAAGCTGTGGCTGCCCCATCCCTGGAGGTGTCCAAGGCAGGTTGGACAGGGCATGGAGCAACCTGGGCTGGTGGAAGGTGTCCCTGCCCTTGGCAGGGGGTGGGACTGGATGACCTTTAAGGTCCCTTCCACCCCAAACCATTCCATGGTTCCAGAAGGGATTGTCCCTTGGTTATGGAGTGTTTCTGGGGAGTTGAGCTTTACTGTGCTTTAGAGCTGTTTAATTTTTAAGCCCCTTCTGCTCCTCTGCCAGACCTACTGAGAAAGATCTCTTAGATTTGTCCCAAGGGGTGGCAGAGGAGCAGAGGCCTCTGAGTGAGAAGTGAGGTGCTGCTCGGGGAGAGGGATGGGGAATGATATTTGGAAGGAGCTGGATGTGTTTTACCTCCACCAGGAAACCCATTCCATGGCTTCTGCACAGCCTTGGCTTAAACACCTTAAGTGCTCTGTAGGAGGTGTGTATTCCTGATGTTTGTATTCCCAAGGCCTGCTTCCTGCAGACTGTAAACATCTCCTCATTTAGGAGGCTGCTCTGATAACCCCTGTCCTGCTGAGCCTCCTCTTGCTGGTTTGGTGTCCATCCAGGGGATCCTCTTTGAGTCCCTGCTTATTCATATGTGATCTTAAGCCTGAAGGTGCTTCTTGCCTTTTCTCTATTTGCTTTATGAGCAGGGAAAAATAGGCCCAAACTCCTTTCTCCCTCCCTTTCCAGGTGGATGGGAAGCTGCTGTGCTGGTTGTGCACGTTGTCCTACAAACGGGTCCTGCAGAAGACCAAAGAGCAGTGCAAACACCTGAGCAGCTCTTCCCGGGCCAGCCTGCAGGAGAAGGAGCAGTTCAGCAGGCTCAGCAGTGGCAGCCACTACAACAGGTAACCTTGGGGAAGGCTTTGGGCGCTGTCTAAGTGCAGGAGGGCCTGGCTAAGCCAGGCTTTGCTTGTTTTTAAACCCCGCTGTGCTGCAGACCTGTGCTTCCGAGTGATCTGACTTGCTGAGCTTGTACACAATGGAAGTTGCATTTGTAGAATTCAATGATTAAAATGCAGATTTTTAAGCAGGAGTTCTTCACCCACGTGCTGCTCTGCCTGACTCATTGTTTTCTGTTTATTTTTAGTCTCCAGCGACTCTTCAAGGAATGAATTTTTTATCGCTCTTTCTTGCACCGGGAAATATTGTTTTAATGGGATCAAAGTGGGTGGGAATATTTATCTGCCTCTCTCTGTCTTAGACTGAAAGTCATTCAGGTTCTGACATACAATTTCCTCCTTTTTTTTTCTAGCCAGAAAACCTTATCCACCTCTTCCATTCAGAATGAAATCCCAAAGAAGAAAGCCAAGTTTGACGCCATATCTGCCAATGGTGACAGGTGAGCTTCTTACATGGGGAAATTGTGGGTGGGTGGGTTTGTTTGCTGAGTTTATCTAAGACAGAGTTGTGTGTGAACAGCAGGAAGCTCTTATGCCAGAGCAGGGATCTCGGGCTTTGGGCCCTCGAGGGGCTGTACTAGAACCTGGCAGGCCAGTGTTGCCTGGCATTTAGACACAGGTTTGAAGAGGAAAACAGTGCTGAGCACCTGCAGGGTTTGTGCTCCTGCAGGGTTTGTGCTCCTGCAGGGTTTGTGCTCCTGCAGGGAGACCCTCGGAGGACAGGAGAGGATCCAGACCCACCTCCCATGTCCCCTCCTGCCTTTGGGGGAGGGACGAGCAACCAAACAGCTTTGCTTGAAATGTTGTGGACTCCTCATCCCTGGAAGTGTCCAAGGCCAGGCTGGATGGGGCTTGGAGCAACCTGGGCTAGTGGAAGGTGTCTCTGCCCGTGGCAGGGGGGTGGAATGAAATGAGCTTTAAGGTCCCTTTCAACCCAAACCATTCCATGATTCTGTGAGAGCATCCAACCCCATTCTGCTGCCACACTCAGCGCTGGCTCACGTTGTCACCAGCTGCCTGTGCAGCAGGATGGGGGGGTCACTAGCAGAAACAGGAGATTAAGGTGGATTTGTGTTTTTGTGGTCTTGTACATGCATATTTTCATTCCTGCCTTTCCTCTCTGATTCTCAGCGTTCCTTCCTCTCCCGAGATGCTTTGCCCCCTTATCCAGAGGGCCCCGTCCACGTTGGCGCAGTGGGCTGCTTCCCAACAGGCTCTCGGGGCCCACCATTGTCCTGTTGCTCAAGGCACTGACATCCTGAAGTGAGATCACCTGTTGTTTTCTCCCCTCCCTCCCTGGGAACTGCCTCACACACGGGAACTCTCCCTCTCCATGGATCTCTTTCTAAACAGCAGGGATTTGGGAGCGTGGACCAGAGCGTAGTTAGTGCCAAAGGGTCTGGTAAAGCCCCTGGTAATTAATTCATCACCACCTGCCTTGAATGTCTCTGAGATCACAGATCAAACCTCTCCTGTAGATGCTGTTGACACCCAGTCAGTGTTGATGTCTGAAATGCTCCCATGGGAAATGCCTCATCCCTGGAAGTGTCCAAGGCCAGGTGGGATGGGGCTTGGAGCAACCTGCACTAGGGGAGGGTGTCCCTGCCCATGGCAGGGCGTGGAACGAGATCTTCTTTAAGGTCCCTTCCAACCCAAACCATTCCATGATTCTATAAAATAGACCTCCAGTGATTTTGTAGGGCAGTGGCTCCCACAGAGTGGTCTGCAAGACCATTTACCACCTGAGCAGTGTTGTAACTAAAAAGCTGAAAAAATTTAAGGATTAAATACAGCTTGGGAGCCGTGGCTGAGCACAGAGGGGTCAGAATTCATCTCCCTTCAGAGCGAAAGGAGAGGCTGGACACAAGTTGCTGGTAGAACTGGGGCAGCCCTTCAGTCCTGCTGCAGCTTTCCCTCTAGAGAGGCTGTAGGACAGCACCAAGTGTTTTTATCTCCCCATTAAATCCTGGGCTGAGATCTCATAACTCCCTGTAACAGCCCTGCTGGCTTAAAAACCCCCAAACCCTGAAATGTCCAGTGCTCTGGGGTTGCTCAAGCCATTCCTTTAGGAAACAGGAGCATGGATTGGAGCAATCAAGTGCCTCCTTCCTGCTCTCGTGTCAGATGTTGTCAGTCTGGCTCCTGCCAAGGCTGTGGGCCTTGCTACAGACTTTTTTTTTTTTTTGATGAATCCCAGTAACAAACTTGAGTGTAAATTTAGCAACTAAAGAGCTCCAGCAACGTGCTGCAGAAAAGGCAAGAGCTGCAGCTGCCTTAAATAGACACATGTGTCTTGAGTGGAATAATAATGGGGGTTCTTTGAATGAGGTTTTGGAGTTCCTGAAGTTGTTTTGGTTTTTTTTTTGTGAGGATGAACCCCTAAAACCCTCCCCATTTACAGTATTTTCTGTGAGACTGTCCTCCCCAGAGTCAGCCTGGAGTTTGGGGCAGAGCCTGGGGTTGGGGTCTGCAGCAGCACAGTCGGGAGTGGGGTGACACAACCAGCACCTCCTCACTGCTGAGAGCAGCCCCCCCTTCCTGTGCAGTGTTTCCTGGCTCCAGCCAAACCTCTGGTGCAGCCTCACCTGGGCAAAATTTGGGCATGTTTGAGCTCAGTTGACTTTGGCAACACCTCCAACAAGGTCCAGCTTATCTGAAACCGTTGCTCCTTTTTGGATACTATAGGAATTCCTTTACTGTGTCTTAACAGAATTCTCTCTGTATGTGTTTGCTTACATATTTTGGGTGGCTCTTGCTCCCCATGGCTGTGGGGACAGGGCGATTCCCAACAGTCATTTAAAGGGTGGTGTTGAATGGTTTGTCCTGGGGGAGCTCTGGGAGGAGCAAATAGCTCTGGCCCTGCTGCAGGGGGGGTGGTTTTCCCTCACAGTGCTCTCAGCACATCTTGCAGCAGACCTGGCCTTACTAATCCTTACTAATCCTGCCCCTCAGTCCTGCTCTGGCTTCACCTCCAGCCTCTGGAGCTCTTCTGGTCCTAATTTGGGCAGTTTTGATGTCCCCATCCTGTCGTGTTTTTACACTGCAGGCTCTGCGGAGGGAACAGGCTGTGGCCCCTTCTTCTCTCACCGCAAACAAGGTGCTAAATTGGGCTTTTAACACCAGGCAGCGACAGCTGGGGGAGGGCAGCGGTGCCTGAGGGTGCTCAGCAGCAAAGTTGCCTTGTAAAAAGGTCCTCATTTTGCATAGAAAAGGTTCTCATTTGCATAGAAGAGTCCTGGCTTTAAAAAGATTAAAACCGTGGGACTTGGGCTGAACTGCACCGGCTTTTGGGGTGGTAGGGGGAGTGTGGGCCCAGATGCTGGTCCTTTGGCCTGGATGGAGTTTTGCATGTGAGAGATGTTTTTCTTGGAATCCCAGAATGGTTTGGGTTGGAAGGAACATTAAAGCCCATCTCATTCCACCCCCCTGCCACGGGCAGGGACCCCTTCCACCAACCCAGGTTGCTCCAACCTGGCCTTGGACACTTCCAGGGATGGGGAGAATTTCTTCCCAATATCCCATCTAACCCTGCCCTCTGGCAGTGGGAAGCCATTCCCTGTGTCCTGTCCCTCCATCCCTTGTGCCCAGTCCCTCTCCAGCTCTCCTGGAGCCCCTTTAGGCACTGGAAGGGGCTCCAAGGCCTCCCTGGAGCCTTCTCTCCTCCAGCTCTCCCAGCCTGGCTCCAGGGCAGAGGGGCTCCAGCCCTTGGAGCACCTCTGTGGCCTCTGAAGTTGCTCCAGCAGCTCCAGGTCCTCCTGGTGTTGGGGGCCCAGGGCTGGCTGCTGTATTCTAGGTGCTTTTTGTCTGAGGTGAAACCTGGATGCTGGTTCCATGCCTGATCTGTGCCTCTTCACGCCAGCCTGACTTGAATAGCAAAATCCTTAAGCTTGGCATTTGCTTTGCCTAATTTCAGCCATTTAACAGGTGTGGAGTTTAAGGCAGTCAATTTGGTTTCTGTTCCAGTCAATAGAGAGGCAGGTGCCTTTGGAACAGCTCCATTTTTGTCCTCTGTCTGCACTGAAAACAACGGGAGCTCATCAATTCCCCTTTAATTAGCAACGTGCATTTTCGGCTGTTTGAACAGGGGGAGCACATGGCCCCCGACCTATCCCAAGGGGCAGGGATGCTGAGTTTATTTGTAGAGGATATGGCTCTTGTTTTTTGGTTTTTTTTTTTTGCTTGGTTGTTTTAGTTCTTGATCTGTTTTTTAAAGGAATGAAGTGACTTGCATTTGGCAGTTTTCCTTCTGGTTTTGGAGTCTCAGGCTGCTCCCTTAAAGACAGAGGAACCTTTCATTTGTCAGCCTTTAAAAAATATAAGAGGGAATCAAAAAAAAAAAAGCTGCTTTTTTAATTAGCACCTTGACATATTTGAGGGGGCATTTTGCAGCAGCTGGACAGGAAAATACCTGCCTGATATTTATTTATACTTTATCCCCCTGCCCCAGCAGGGGATCCCTGATAACTCCAAGCCCTCGTTCCCAGCTGGTGGGTGCTCTGTGGAAGGTTGGTGTCCCTCCTGTCCCTTCTCCCCACTGGGTGGCAGGGCTGGCTCTCACCTTCCCTGCTCCTCCACGACGTGCTGGGCAGCAGGAGCTGCCAAGCAGGGAATTTTTCCTGCTGGAGCTGCTCAGGGAAATGGGAGCATCTCCCAGCACTCTTTATCCCCCCAGGGCACGGCAGGAGGGAAGCGTGCCTGGGCAAAGGAATGGTGTGTCAAGGGATTGTTTTTAGCCAGAGGGAATGGTGAGGAACCCTTTTTTTCCTCCGTGGAGGCTGGGGATTTTTTGATTTCTCTCTCTCCTCCCCAGCATATTTGCACTGAGTGGGAAATTAAAGCTGCTGTTGGTAACGTGCTTGCACACAGGAAGGTGATGGAGCTCCCACCATCATCCTGCACAGCCTGCACTTGGGAAAACTACTTGGGAACAGTTTTAAAATGGATCCAGCGTGCCCAGAGTGCTGCCACATCTCAGTGTGGGCTCTGCTGTCAGCATGTTTTAGCCATGCCAGGCTCCTCCACCGTGGGCTGTCTCCTGCAGCCCCTCAGTCCCGAGTTTTCCTTTGCCAAGCTTTCTTTCCCAGCGCCTCAGGGCCATCCTCTGACTCTCAGATCTGGGAAGCTGCCTCTGCTTAGTTCCCCTCTGTAGATCCCCAGCACAGTGGGGGAAGGAGCCTTTCTCCTGCCACATCCCCTCGCTAACGAGTCCAGTCAAAGCAGGCTGTGCTTTTAATTAGGAAATGGATCGTTTCCAGGCACTAGAGGAGACCCCATGTGAGGTGAGCAGTGGGTACTCTCTGCCTTGGTGGGGAACTGAAAGCTCAGAGGTGGAAACATCCTCGAGAGAGGCAGAATTTTGGGTTCAGATCGTGCCTGCCACACCCTGCTGCAGCTCCCAGCTTTAGAGCTCAGTGATGACCTACTCTGGAGGCTTTAAAAAAAAAAAGGAGTCAGGCTCCAGGTGACCCTGGTGATTTATCTTTGCTTATCTGATAACAGCCAGACCTGAAGTCCATCTTCTAGGTTAGGCTTTGTTGTCTTATTGCTGCTCAGTTTTTATACAGCAGTTTCACGTGTGTGTGGCTGGGAGTGCACTGCCCTCTTAGGAGATAAAAACCAGCCTTAGGGGTGGAACAGAGGGCAGGGAAAAACCGGGTGAGCTCCCTGGGCCTGTGGCTGCAGCTTGTGGTATCTTATGATCCAGAATATTCCTGCAGCACAGGACTGTGTGTGGCTGCCCCGGCTCACTGGGTGTCTCGTAGGGAGGTTTGTGATTTACCAGTCCAGATAAGTTCCCAGCTGGTTGCTTATGATTAGAGACCTGGTGGTGTACAGGTGATGTGCTCAGCTATTTCTCTGTCTTCCCAGAGAGTTTTTCCTGCTCTGAGATAATGAAGCTTCTCCCTAAATTGCTTTACCGTGGCAGAACCAAAATACAAAGTCCAGCATGTTTTTTACCCCTTTTTCCTGCTGAGGACAGTGCTGACTTCAATTTAGCTGTTCCCTTTGCTCTGTTTGTTGAACTTGGGCGTTATTTGTTTCTCTTTCATGTCCCCTCCCTGCCAGAATGTTTGTTTACATTCAGTGGGAAGTTCTGCGGTGCATCCAAGGACTGCCTGTGAGCAGAGGAGTTCCAGAGGGATCATAAAAGTTTCAGTATTTCTCTGATTGCTGTCTTCAGCTCTTTGGTTCGAAGAAGGATCCTGAAGGATCCTGAAATCATTCCCATCTGAATGCATCCGTGGGAGTTTCCCCTGACTCGGTGGAAATGAGGGTTGTGCTGAGAGCCTCTCCCTGTTCTTTGCTGCAGCTTTTCTCCAGACCTCGCCCTGGACTCCCCTGGCACCGACCACTTTGTCATCATTGCCCAGCTGAAGGAGGAAGTGGCTACTTTAAAAAAGATGCTGCACCAGAAGGATCAGATGATTCTGGAGAAGGAGAAGAAGGTACAGCCCTTGGCTTGCTTCCCCCCCAGCAGGCTGGAATGTTCTCACAGATCACACTCCAAGACACAGCCTGGTTTTTTATCTTGGAGTGAGCAAGAGCATGTCTGGCTGCTTGCAGGCTGTCTCCTGTCCAAAGCCAAGAGGCTCTCTGGACCCACCCAGGAGATCTCATTTCATAAAGGGTCACTTCCTGACCACTCTCTTGGAGACCTCTGTGTGTGGGCAAGACTGGGAGTGAACACGCTGCTCCTTGCAGTCCCTGTGCTGCTCAGGGACACGGTTCTGGTGTGCTTGCACTCCCCCAGCACGTCTCTGACCTCAGCCAGTCTCACACACCTTCTGCAGAGGTGTTTTCCGTGGCAGGGAGCGTCTGGGGGGAGGGAATTCATTGCCTCTTCCAGCTCCCTTGCTCCTTCCTGGTCTCTCCCCAGATCACGGAGCTGAAAGCCGACCTGCAGTACCAGGAATCACAGATGAGGGCAAAGATGAACCAGATGGAGAAGACACACAAGGAGGTCATGGAGCAGTTACAGGTGACACACTCTTGGGTCAATTTGCTGGGCTGTGCTTTATCTGGGAGTGACTGAGGACACTCCTGATCACAACACCCCGTGAGCTCCTGCACACACGGCTCTGTTAATCCTTCTCATCCCTATCCTACAGCCTCTGCACTGCATTCCAACCTCCATTCACACTTACTGTGTTGTAAAGTGCTGTGTTGTGTCCCTCAGTGGACTAGACTGAAACCATCAAACTCATTTTACCTATTGCCAAAATCAGGTTTGAGCTTGTTTTTCCAGCCTGCAGAACCTTTGTGAGCTCCCTGCACCTCTAAATGGCCTCCTTGTGATTGGTGTGACCAGTAAGGAGGGAGAACAAAGGAGCAATTGGCAGTTCCTTTAGCCCTGTATCTCTCTAGTCCAAATAAAGAAGTCCCTGAGCTGGAGGGAACAGGGAGAGCAGGATTTTTGCCAGGGCCGTGGAGACACAGCGATTATCAGCATGAATAGCCTGAGCCATCGAAGGGATCAGGTCAAAGGGGGAGAAATCAGACAGAGGAATGAACTTTGCACCCTTTAATTACTCTGGGTATATAAAGATCTAAAGCCCCAGCGATGAGAGGTGGGAGGGGGTGAGACAAAAGGCTTCTATTGCCTCTGAGGAAAGAGCCCCTCCTCCATCCAACATTCCCGGGGAAGTATCCCAGTACAGGGCAGGTTTTGGAGCCTCCAGCTGCTGTCAGAGTGCTGGTGCCTGTGATATCCCCTTGACCATGCTCATCCTTCTGCCTGGCTGAAGGCTGGAACATCTGTGTGTGGTGTGGAGAGGGCTGGCTGTGCTTCCTGCTCCCTGTGAGGGAGGAGAAGGAAGCATCAGCTCCAGGAGCAGTTGTGTCCCAGCCACCTGCCTCTCCTGGAGATTTCCATGCTGGGCTCAGCTCTGGCTGGGACTGCCCTGATCTCTGGTGTCCAAGTGTTCTCTGCTGGTATTGGCTGGGGCTCTGGAAGTTTCACTGATTCCAGAATAAAACCTCAAATCCTCTCAGAGTGTACTGTAGGTGCCTTGAATTGTTCATATGGATCCTTTTTTGACCAGGCTCTCAGGTTTTGATATTTTATCTTTGTCCTTTCTGGGGAGGGCTGGGATGGGAGAGCCCCTTCTAGGTGGTCAGAGGTGAGCTCAACATCTGCCTCCTTTTCCACCTCTGTGCAGGATGCCAGCAGCTCCTGCCCAGGCAATTCTGGGAACCCAAGAGCTGCTGCTGATCCATACCCTTAAACCCCCCTTTTCCCTGTTCCCAGGCCAAGAACAGAGAACTCCTGAAGCAAGCGGCTGCCCTGTCGAAAGGCAAAAAGCCGGAGAAGTCGGGAGCAATAACCTCCCCTTAAAGCCAACCCCCCAGTCTGGGAGCTTTCCCCAGCATTAGCCAAGGAGTCTGGGAGACCCGCTGGATCCCTGGAAGCCAAAACCTCCGTGTTGTCACTGTCCCACTGCCGTGGACTCCATGGGAATTCCTGATGTGTGTTGCCTTCCGACAGCATGCTCGAGCGTGGCCGGTTTCCATCCACAGGGAGAGGTCCCAGGCCTTCCTAAATCCCCCCCTGAAGTACTGTTTTCTGGGAGAAATCTTTCCCTAGCCAGTTGCTACCACTGCCAGCCCTTTCCATGAGCAAACAGGAACCTGCTGCATTAGGGGCTCCTTGCTGGTTCCCAGCCTGCTGCTGCGAGGGAATTGCTGTGGCCAGTTGTTCCGCAGATAAAGCAGGAGCTGGGTGTGGTGGGAGCTGGATTCTTTTTTCCCCTTGAACTGTTCCCTCTTCAAAAGGGAGCCGAGAACTCACCAGCCCAACAGATGTTCCTGGGAGGTTGTGCCACTGCTGACAACGGTTGATCCAAGTTTTTTTTTGAAGATGCTTCCAAAATGGGGGCTGTGTATTTATCTTGGAAGATTTCTTTTTTTGTGTGTGTGTTTTGTTTTGGATTTTTTTTATTTTTTTCTTCTTTTCTCTGTCAACTCGACAGACCAAACTGCCTGGTTTTGTGTTTCCTTGTTTTTCTGATGAGAGCTTTCGGGTTGGGAGCCAGAGTGGAACGATACAGCCCCAAACCCATCCCAAATTCCCCCCACCAGCACCCTGGTTACGTGGTGACCTTTGGAGCTTCGATGACTTCTGCAGCGTGGTGTGATCCCTCTTCTCCCCCCTTTCCCTGCCCCTTCCAGATGCAGGGGCCAGCTTGGCTCCAGGAAAGCACTTACTCAGGCAGCCACCTGAGCCAGGGAGTGGGTTTTTTTTTTTGGAGGGGGGGCTCTCCAGGGATTTTTCTCACTGCTGATTCCAAACCAGCAGGATCAAAGGGCTATGAGAGTTCCCTGTACCAGGGATGTGCTGCCCCAAAACAGCACAGCCACCACTGACCCTTCCAGCCAGGCCAGCTGGGCTGGGGCCCCCCAGGCGCCTCTTTTGGTGGAAAAAAAGCACTTGGAGGGGAAGCTCCAGGCTGGCAGGAGCTCCTTGGCATCCCCAAATCCGGGCAGGGGGTGGAGAAACATCTCAGGGCTTGGAGACCCCCGAGCAGGGAGTGAAGGCAGGTAAGAGAACTCATCCTTTTGCTGCAGGGCGGCTGCTCCATCAGGGCTTTGATGAAGCTTTTAAATAGAGCTTGTGATAATTATTTTTTTTTTTTCCACCCTCTTGTGGGTTTTTTTTTTTTTTTATTTGTTACTAAAGTTGATTTTACTCAAAAGGCACTTTTTTTGGGATGATGTTGGCTTCTGACACGGAAGGAGCACGTTTTCATTGGACACTGCCATGTAGTTTTTTTCTTCTTCTTTTTTTCTTTTTTTTTTTTAATGGTTTTTCTAAGAGACCTCTGACGTGAAAACAAGCAAAACCAGAACTTGTCACACTTCACCGAGAGTGTGACAGCAGGAAAAAAAAAAACTCACCCAATTTTATACTTTTTAGAAAAACGAGGTGCACTGGGGGGAGTTTTTGTTTGGGTTTTTTTTTAACGGGGGAAGGGGGGCTTCGCTTTTTTTTTTTTTCTGCTTCCCCTCGAGACACAGACATTTTAAAAAAAAATAAAAACAAAAAAAAAAAAAAAGAGGGAGAGAAGGGCCCTGTAAATACTGTTCCCTGGGGGTTTTTAATCGTGAGGAATCGCTCTCCCACCGTGGTGTAGCTGATTTGTAGCACCCAAACATCGTTTCTTTGTATGTTTGTAATAACCCGGGTTTTCGAGGGACGCTTGGATTTGTACAAACTGACACCTGTAAAAGTGGTTTAAAAAAAAAAAAAACAAAAAAAACACAAAACACAAAACCCCTCCATCTGCATCTCGGAATTTCTGTTTGCTTTAAAAAACAAAAAAAAGGAAAAACAAAACAACCAAAGCACCTTTTCCCCTGCCTGGAGCTGATTTATCTGGGAAGGAGTCGGCATTTTCCCATTGTTTGCTTTGCTCCTACTTTTCTTTCTATCTTTAAATCCTCCCATCAAGCCTGTTGCTAGGAGCCCTGTTACTTGGTTACATCCAGCTTCCCAGGACCCATCCAGCTGTATCCAAGATTTATTCCCTATTTTCTTCCCCGAGCACACAAAGACAGAGCTGGGAAACAATAGCAGGAAAAACAAAACGTGAGGATAAGGGAGTTGTTTCTTTTTAAGACATGAGGTGAGTGAACCCCCTGTGTGTCTCAAAGTCTTTCCCTCAGCCATAAATCTAGGGGGGAAAATGTGGGGTTTTGGTGCTGGTTGTTTTTTTTAAAAGCTTCCAATTTTCCAGCAGAAATTTGGGAGGGCAAAAACCTCCCCAGAGATTCCCACTGGGAAATGCCCCCCCCAGGTCCTGGTGGGAGTGTAGTTCAGAATTTTCATGGAATCATGGAATATCCTGAGTTGGAAGGGACCCACAAGGCTCATTTTGTGCTTTCTTTGTGCTGTGGGTGCAGGATCCTGGGAAGAGGAGCAGCACTCCAGGCCAAGGAGCTGCCACGGCCTTGGATGTCTGTTCCCAGGGTGGGAAAAGGCAAACCCTGGTTCTGTTGGAAACCCCACAGCAGCTTTTCCAGCTGAAAATGCAATTTCTGTATGATTTTTTTTTTTTAAAGCCTGGAGTTGCACACGAAAAACATTCCCATTTTCTGGGAATCATTAATTGTGACAAACGCCCAAATGGAGAGTTAAATGCAGTGAAGAAAAACAGTTTCTGTGAAATCTTCCTCATCATGTTGTTCTTCCAGTCTCTGTGTTATTCCTTCAGTTTCTTTGGCATCTCATGCCAGAGGTTGATGGTGTGCACTGGGCAGGGTTCTCATCCCAGGTTTCTTAGAATCATGGAATGGTTTGGGTTGGAAGGGACCTTAAAGCCCATCCAGTTCCACCCCCTGCCCTGGGCAGGGACACCTCCCACTAAACCAGGTTGCTCATATTCCAGACTGATCTCAGCCACATGCTAGTGATGAAATCAAAGTCAAAATTGAGAATTCCAGTTTTTGGTCAGTGTTTTTGCCCATTCCATGAGCTGAGGTTTGGCTGCCCCTCACCTGCTTCCAGCAGAAATCCTTCCTGAAGATCCAGAAGCTCCAAGAAGCCAAAGTGCAGCCCTGGGGAGCTGGAGGTGGCTGGGTTTTCAGGGCATGACAAAACCCTCTTGCAAAGCATTTCCTGAGCTCTGCCAACCAGGAGGGTTAGATTTTGGTTTTTTTAAGTAATTACTTGAATAAATATTTCCTTTCCAAACTTGCAGGGCCCAGGGCAAGGATCTGAAACTTCAGTATGGAAATGAATGTAAACTCTTCTGCAGCTTGACAGAAGAGTTGAACCCACAGCAGGATTGAACCTGCAGCAGAATTAAACCAATTTAACCAGCTGGTAATTACCCACAAACACTCTCCCTTCCACTCCTCCCTAATTCCTGGGTTTTTTGGGAGTGCTGGCTCAGCATGACCTGGGGGCAACAGGCTTCAAAATTGTCTTTAAAAAAGCCAACCCTGAGGATTTTCAAATCTTACAAAGTTTTTAGTGACTTGTGTTTGGTGGCTGAGGCAGGAGAGGAGAGCACAAAGCCTGTTCCAGAGGTGAGAGAAGTGAGGAATTGGGGTTTTAGGGATGGGAAGTGTTCAGTGTTGCTCCTGATCTGGATAAAGGGGTCCAGCTGACACAGCCAGATACTCAGCTGCCCTTTGTCTTCTTCCAGGAAAACCAGAGTTGGCCCAGGAGTCCAAAGGTGTTTTGGCTGTGACCCCCCTCACCTATATCCAGCTCCCAGAGCACGTGGGGATAACAGCTCCCTCCTGCTGCTATTCCCAGAGCAACAGGGATCACTCACCAGTACAGACCAGTACAAACCACTGTTCCTAATGTGTTTGTGCTGCCAAAGCCACATCCATCTGCCTTCCCTGCCTTGGGAATCACTGACCCTCCACAGCTCCAAACGGGGCAGCTGTGGAGGAAGAGGGAACAGCCTCAAGCTGTGCCAGGGGAAGTTTAGGTTGGATATTAGGGAAAATTTCTCCAAGGAGAGGGTTGTCCAGCCCTGGCAGAGCTGCCCAGGGCAGGGGTGGAGTCCCCATCCCTGGAGGGCTTTAAAAGCCATGTGGATGTGGCACTTGGGGACATGGGACAGTGGTGGCCTTGGCAGTGCTGGGGGACAGTTGGCCTCGATGATCTTAAAGATCTTTTCCAACCTGAACTGTTTCATGATTCCAATTCCCTTCTCCACCCCACGAGTGCTCTGGGCTTCCTTCTTCCAGCCCACCAAGCCCCAGTGAGTCTGGGGGGGTCTGGGCTGCCCAAAACTGCTGGCTGGTGACAAAAGGCAGGTGTTGTCCCCAGCCAACCTTGCTCTGGGGTGACACACCTTGAGCAATCGGCCTTCCCTTCCTGTTTAGCTCTCCTGGAGCACCAGGCTTGTCCAGTCAGCAGGATGATGACCAGGGCTCTGTCAATCCCCAAATAATTACCTGCTCTTGTGTGTGTTTCCCAGGATTGCTGTTTCTGGAAACAGGGGCTTGGGTTTGTTCTCGAGGAAGTTTTGCCTCTCCCTTGCTTTTCCCATTAATATTGTAACGAGCCTGGCTGGGAATTAGCCAGCGTGGAAAACCCTCCTGCAGTTGTATTTCCTGGAGGAATGAGCTCAAAGTGGGACAAAAAGGGGAAGAGATGTCAAGTGCTCTGAGTGAGGCTGGTGGGAAAAGGACTTGAGCTGGACTTGGTGTGTCCAGAGAAGGGAATGGAGCTGGGGAAGGGGCTGGAGCAGCTGAGGGAGCTGGGGGGGCTCAGCCTGGAGAAAAGGAGGCTCAGGGGGAACCTTCTGGCTCTGCAACCCCCTGACAGGAGGGGGGAGCTGGGGGGGCTCAGGCTCTGCTCCCAGGGAACAAGGGACAGGAGGAGAGGGAACGGCCTCCAGCTGTGCCAGAGGAGGGTCAGGTTGGATACTGGGAAAATTTCCCCATGGACAGGGTTGTCCAGCCCTGGCACAGCTGCCCAGGGCACTGTTGGAGTCCCCACCCCTGGAGGGGTTTAAAAGCCCTGTGGATGTGGCACTTGGGGACGTGGTTAGTGCCCACCCAGCCACGCTCTGCCCCTCCTGCCCCTGCTCAGCACACAGGGATAAATATCCTCCTGGCACAGCCCTCCGTGTCTTCTGATGGGATATTTTTGTATTAAATACTTGGCAGCATCTCCAGCTGGATCAGGGCCTGACACACTCCCCAGCCCTGGGGTGCCCAGGTCCATCTCAGCCTGTCCCCCTCATAGCCAGAGCTTTGTGGGGGACAGAAAGGGGGGAACAGAGGCAGCCTCCCCGCCCTGCTTTGCTTACACTGTGTTACCTTCAGTGCTGCAGAGGAAGAGATGGATTTTCCACTCCAGGCTGACGTGTTCAGCCAGAGCAAACACAGAGCTGTGGCCTCAGGGGGAATCACAGAATCATCATGGAATGGTTTGGGTTGGAAGGGACCCTAAAGCTCATCCTGTTCCACCCCCTGCCATGGGCAGGGACACCTTCCACTAGCCCAGGTTGTTCCAAGCCCCATCCAACCTGGCCTTGGACACTTCCAGGGATGGGGCAGCCACAGCTTCTCTGTGTCCAGGGCCAAAGGAGCTGCTGCTGGAGCTGGACTGAGGGGACAGAGGCTGAAGCAGCCCCTCCAGCCCCAGGGCAAGTGCAGGACCAGGTCCCCCCGAGAGCAGCTGCAATGAGCCCCCCAAATTGTGCCTCTGAAGTGACCCAGGGTGGCAGAAGAGAAGCAGAAACCTCGGGGTGGCCAGAGCCACACAGACCCCACACCCTCGGTGCGAAACACCCTAAAAAAACAGCCTCGTGTTTGCGAAACACCCTAAAAATAGCCCCGGGAAGGGGACAAGGACGAGGAGCAGTGACCAGGGACATCTGAAACTGGGATGTGCTCCCTCCCTGCTGCTGTGGCTGTGCTGGCTGTGGGGCTCTGACATGTTCCCTTTGTTGGCAGGAGCTCAGGACAGAGCTGGAGGAGGCTGTTGCCAGGCAAACCCGGAGTTGTTTGTGCAGCAATTCCCATTTGCTGGACTTTGCCGTGTCGGGCTGTCAGGCAGTGCCAGAGCGGTACCAGTGCTGTGTCTGGGGCTGCCCGTGCTTGTGGGGGTGGGTTTTTTTCCCCCCTTTCTTTCAAATTTTTTTTTTTCTTTATGGTTCTTATTTTTTTTCTTTTCACCTTTTTTTTCAAAGCCACGTTTCAGCAACCTGGGCTAGTGGGAGGTGTCCCTGCCCATGGCAGGGGGGTGGGACGACATGAGCTTTAAGATCCCTTCCAACCCAAACCATTCTGGGATTCTACAGCTCTTTCATTGAGCTTGGTGTTTATCCAAAGGGACGGGAGCTGGGCTGGGACCTTGTAGAGACTGGGAGGGGAAAACTGCTCAATTCTTGGGGCTTCTCTGCTTGAGGTTAATCAAAGTGTTCCATGGCAGGGAGCATTGGAGTGGCTGGAGGGGGAACATGGCTCTGTGTGCAGAGGTGGGATTTTTGGGGTTGTCCTGTGCAGAGCAAGGAGTTGAACTTCATGACCCTAGTGGGTCCCTTCCAATTCAGGGTATTCTGTGATTCTATGACATAGAACCTGCCTGGGAAGGTGTGCAGGGTCCTCATGTGCCATTTCACAGAATCCCAGAGTGGTTTGGGTTGGAAGGGACCTTAAAGCCCATCTCATTCCACCCCCATGGGCAGGGACAACTTCCACTAGCCCAAGTTGCTCCAAGCCCCATCCAACCTGGCCTTGGACACTTCCAGGGATCCAGGAGCAGCCACAGCTTCTCTGGGCAACCTGGGCCAGAGCCTCCCC